TTGACGCTCATTAAACAGAAGTATGATTGTGTGAGAACCCTTAAACAGTGTAGACATCAATTATTCATTAGATCCAGAAAGTAAATTTGCAGTCAAACTCAAGAAGACTAAACTTCACCCACTTTTCTGACACATTGAAGAATTGTCTCCTTTACCATTCAAACAAGTGAGAAGCCGCCTAGTCTAGCCGGAATGAAACTCGATACGACCTGTGTTTTTGTTGAGTGAAACTTTGATAAACAAATTCAAAGACACGTACAGAAGAGCAGCGAACCTTCGTCAACAGTTGAGAAATAAAACACATTTTGTGAGGCGTTTACAAGGTCGACAGACGAAACGTCTTGAAAATGTCCCTTCTTTTCCATATGCGGGCTTGGGGCTGACGAATGGGTCGTTTTCGTAACGACGGGGAGACGGTCGTCGTCAGTGTCGAAGCCAGGACGGAACGAATAAACTGACAGTGGCATGGATACGGGCTCATTTGCTGGGACCGACATTTCACCGACAAATATTGAACGCAATAGGGGTTATTTTGCTTCTCCACGGGACTCCCGAGACATAATGATCACGGTCTCAAAATTCTTGATTTTCTGCATTACTTTTTCACTAATGTTGTGGTGCCTCAGCAGGACATTTGGGACGAAAAACGTAACGGTTGCTCAATATCCGCGACTTTCATGATTTAAATCTCCCGCTTTCAATTTTTTTTTATTGAATCTGAGAGAAAGAAAATAAATTAAAAAATTGCTTCAGAAAACATACACATAATTTCGAAAGTGTCCACCGTCTCCGAAACTCGGTCAACTTCCCTGAAATGAGGGCAATGTCGTGTCGACGTTCGTCCCCTGATCTTCCTCTTTTATCCTGCTTTCGTGGTATCGACAGCAGTTTTTCCTTAAAAAAAAGAAGAAAAAACATAATTTCTCTGGGATTTGTGTTGACTGGGATGGATTCAATATTGAGGCATAAAGAGCTTCTGTCGACACTCGGTTTATATTCAGTTCATCGTATGCTGTCTCCCCAGAATGTATGATGACATGAATGAATGTTAAATGATGCCAATGACGCATTCGCGTGTAAGATTTTTCTGCATGGCGTCTTAGGGGGGTCTGCTTCAGATCATGTTTGTTATTTATTTTAATTTTAGATTCGCGTCGCATAAATAGTTGATTTTTCTGTAAATACTGTTCAGTATTTCAATTTTTATTCTGCATCAAAGCTCGGGGTGAGGGGTTTAACGAGCTTTTGTTTGTTATTGCTGCTGACCATAAATGCGACAGGGCACTGTAGGTTTTGCACCGGGTTTTGACAGAGCTTTGCGTCCTGTGCCAATATGACAAAGCTCACCCAAGATTGCAAGAACAGGCTTTGAAGGGAAGAAGCAATCAAGATACCTTGCACGTGGATTTGGCAAAAATTCATTAGACTGAGAAACGCAGTCAAAAACAGCCAGTATTTGGCCCAAATTATAAAAAATTCCCTGAGCTGAGTTTAATCTCGATTTTTGACAACTCCAACACGGATTTGATCAAACGTCGAAATTATCCATTTAATTGTATACCGCACAGAAGCTGTTCCGAATACCATCTATTCACTCAAATACCACATGCCCTCATGTATAAGACCTTGATTTCTGAGACAACAAGTTTTAGAAAAATGAATCCAAGCAAAACACACTCACCCTGGTTTCCGTGATACAAAGTTCTATTTAACTTACGAAATATGACCAAAAATTTGAAATGGAGACAAATAACGCTGGAATGAATTGTGTTTTTGTTTTTGTTTCATATATTAATGCGCCATTTAGATTTGAGCACATATTTATACTGTATTTTTAATCATTTTAGCCGCTAAGAATATTCCTAGTAAATTTCACTGCATTAATTCCAAGTATGACGTGTACTAAAAATGTTTAAAATCGGTATAAAAGTATATAATTCAATATGACCTAATTTTTAAAGGAAAATTGTTCGGTATGCACTTGAATGAACACGCTTATACTGTTCCTTTAGTTTCTTTTGGAAAATTTTTTCAGGAATTTATAAATTGTTTATATCATTCAAAAAAGAAAATATCTCTAAAATGCCTCGTTAGTGGATAGAAGTACTTCCTGTTGCCCCTTGAAATGGCGGATTGACGTATGTTCCTTTTTTTTTTTACCTTTGTTTCTCTCGGCATCAAAATTTTTTTCACGGAATCACCTGAAGTGCCGTCATTTGTATGCCTTTCAAGTTTTTAAAATGACTCAAATGCATTGCAGATTTTTCCCGTGGAATTCCTCTTTGACGCGTTCTTTCACTGGTTTTCGAATTGACTTTATTCACACTCAATACTAAGGGTTGAATCAGATTCCACCAGAAGCAGCCTCATGACTAAATCTGAGTTTATTTTAATTTTTTGAGGAACATTTCTTGAAACCCTCCGACAGTGCCATTCCACAAAGAAAAAAAAAGTGTTCCATTAAGTGGGTTGAAAGGCGCCTTTCTGCTAAGACGAAGTTTTTTTTTTCTTCTTCTCTGCATAAACCCGGGTCGATGACGGCAGGGGGCATTTGTTGAAATGAACTCACCGCGATATCATTGAAAATGCCAGACAGGAAGGAAGGACGCATGTGCCAGTCAGGCAAATTGGACGAGTCTGCTGGGAATTCCGGGCCTCTTACACCTGCGACTTCCGGCAACCTCAGCAGCTTCTCCACTTCTCTTCATTGTAACGACCTGGGGGTTTTTTCTCTGCTGAGGATTTGAGGAATGACGACGAGGAGTCTTCCGAAAAAAATTCAACTTGCTTTCTACTGATGCGAAACGTGCATATATATATACATGTGTATACAGCAATATAAGAAACCCTGCCACTCAGTTTATTTGTCGTCTGCAGAACAGTGTTATTTAGGATACTAATTTTATTATTATTTTTTTTTCAAAATGTATGACGCGGGAAAAAGAGAAACAAACGTGATATCACCACGGAATTGGCAAATACGTCAGCAGATTTTTTCCTGTGCGGACATTTTGCTCTGGCGCCCGGATGATAACAGGGTTTTCATTCCATCTTATCAATTGTTTCACCTTCGAATTGCAAATATTTTCCGAGTAATTTCTCCATAACCAAATCGAATAAACACATTTTTTGTGTTTACGAGGCAAGACGTGTTTCATGTATTTTTTCGTTGAATAAAAGAGACGTCCGTTGTGCGGGTCATTTTACCCCAAACGCCGTGGTTGATATCTAGGGCTGTATTTAAGGTATTCTGCATCTGAAGCATGATTGGGATTAGATTCTACGTACAGTACTTGTTTAACAAGTCTACTGATATTTTTCTTGCGAAAATCTCTAGAATCCTATTGATAATTTTTATCTTTTCCTCAACAGTTTTTCCTGGATACAGTATTAAGTCGCGGAAAAAAATTTCCCTGCGTTTCCATCCTTGGAGTTTCAAAAGCTGTGCAAAAACTGTTGGAACAGTATTTAAATTTATGTAATAAAACGTGCTTGAAAATTTCGACCAAACATGATAAAAAGGGGTTTGCTCACGAAATGGGATCACTTTCAAGAAAGTGTGTAGGCGTACTTACGTTTAACCTGATAACACTAATTATTTGAGCCTTTACTCAAATCAATTCTTGCGACCAGCTACCATTTGACACATATTCCAAAATTTCTAATATTTTCCCACAGAAAACCTTGTCTGTTTTAATAACCTTTTCCACGAAAGAGAGACAATTATAAAAAAGACACTGGATCAGCACATGACGTGAAAATATCAACTGAGAAATCAATTTCGCCAGCAGAGCCTTTCAGAAGAGTCCCCCTTCAGTTTCTCGCAGAAGAATGTGTCAGCGCCAATTCCCTTCGCCGCCATTTCCGGCGCATCAAGCAGATGATTTCCCGCGAAAAGTCTTTTCAGCGGCCAGAGACAAACAGATGTGTTCGTGTCTGGACACTTCCGGCTTCCATTTTCGTGACACAAGGCAGGTGCATAGGCTTCGAATATATAGTATATGTATTTAGTGTATTTTTTTAGGTGCTCTGGCCATGGGGAAAAAACGTAACTTTACCTGCATGTGAAAAATACTACGTGCGAAACGAAAGATTATTGTAAATCGAAAAAATAATTTATTCAGAGAATATATTACTGTAAATCTGGTTGAATAGATTCCAGTCACCTTTGAATCGCCGATGATGAAAAACTGATGGTTTCTTCTCCATTTTCTTGGAACATTTTCACAAAAAGTCATTTGTCTAAAATTTTGTTCACCGTGATTTTGAATCATGGAATAATTTGCTGATTTTTGGAGGAATAAAATGAACGTGTTAGAATCTCGGGGTTGATTGAAGTCTTTTGCTTTTTCGCTGCCTTTATCTGATTTTATGGATTGTTTTCGAAGATGCGTTGCCCTCAGAACCTTGACCAAAACTGATTAGTTCAAAGATTAACATTTTTTTGAAGCCTTGCTGTAAAATTTCGAAGATTTAAGCTGGTCTAGCTCAAAATCAGGCTTCCAATTCTGTATTTCACGCGCAGTTAAATTTATTGATGCATGAAATCATTCATTCATATTCTATTTATTCAAACTATACAACATTCATGACATGACATAACACAATAACTTCAAACTAAAAATTTTTGAAAAAAATGCACACGCGATTCTAGTAAGCGTATAGAAAGACAAATAGAAAAAAAAAACTAAGCGATCGAGTTGGAATGTCATTCAGAGGGAGACCTTTTCTTCAGGTACTTCAGTGAGAGGGGTTTTATGTGTCTTCAACAGAGTTACAAAACTCAGATGTGCTTCTGTTTTTTTTTATATAACCCGAGTACGAATGCTCCAAAGAAGGTCAGCCGATTCGCGAGCGATTTTTTGTCCCATCTCTCTCTCCCCCGGCCTCTAAAGCACCGGAAGTCCCGCTTATGGTAGCCGTATAAGCGTTTAAAGGGGCCTGCCTGTCCCTTGTCTTTACCGTTAGCCGCGGAACTGCTCGTCGAGGGGTCTTTTGGACTACTTGCGGCCCACTAAGCAGCGGAACGCATTGGCGACGTCACCGCCGGAAAACTGACCTTTGTAGCGAGTCGAGACACGATCGCCGGCATTGAGCCAAACTTGAGCGAAAGTCCGGACTGTGATTTTAGTTTTTTCATTGGCAAATCCGCGTCCGAAGACATCTTGGTCATTTTTGAGAATGTAGAGTTCTCCGGGCAAACCCCAGGTTCCCTTTTCCGCTTCCCAGCGAAACTCGTAGAAACCCGGGACCGAGACGACGAATTCGCCCTTTTTCATGTCGAAGCAGGATCCGAGGGTGACTCCTCGAAGATTGTACGTGATTGCTTTCCCTATAGGCACACGAAGGAATGCGTGCAAATGATGAAAGTACCGTAATTATCATAATGTTTTATGAATATTTCTGAGCAATTTTGAGCCGCAAAGGTTAAATCGGCCCCGTGAGTTTTTTCCCCCAGCGTTTTCTGATCGCACCGCAATAATGTTTCATGCGTATTTCTCAGAAGCACCTTTTGTTTCTAAAACTTGATTTTGTGAAGGGAATTTTCACGTATTATTCCGGCGTTATGCTCCGAGCTTCAAAATTATATGAAAGCATTCTTTTTCTGATTTCAAGGTACTATATAATCATCTAGGAATTTCGTGCAATGCAGCTGCGTTTTCGAGGTGAACAAAAGCGGTGTTTAATATAGGGGTTTCAGACGTACCATGCATTTTAAAAGGCGGGCCGATTACACTGAGAAAAATATGAAGAAAACGTTTTCCATTGGGTGTAGATTAGTTTGAAATTCTCACAATAACTGGTGTCGGTCAGGAAGTCTGATGAATTTTGACGGACTCCGTAAACGCTGAAAACAACTGGTTCGTTGGGAAAAATCGGCTGAGAATGCAAGATGTCCAGAACGTCTCCCGTTCCTTGTAATTCGATCTGGCAGAGATAGGAAACCCCAAATTATTGGATCAGAGTTTTTACAAATTTTTCCGTCTTTCAAAGCTGTCAAGTCAGGTCAACGAACTTTTGGGTGATGAAGAGTAACTTCGTGAGCAGATCCTTCAGCATCTGAGGTGACAAATATTGTTGTCAACAACAGTACAGCGAATCGCAGCGAAATTTGCAACATTTTTTTTTCTGTCGGATTTTCCAAGCGGTTGGCAAAGATTTTTTCTGAAAAATAAAAATTCCGGAAATCTTCGATCATATCAACAGTTTAAATCGAACCTATGAAAGGACCAGAGCAGCGTCAACTCGAGAACCACTCACTCTCAACTATTCATTTCCTAGACGAGACCATGCTTAAGTACACGTTTTGTGTGTGCAGAAAATCAACATTGTATCCCAAATTCAATTTCCCAAACACGGCATCGCCTATAATGCCCAGATAATTCGAAATCCGTCTCTCTTGCGAATCCAATTCCCCGCGCTCTCGCAAAGGTAAATATAATTTCTCGACGGATGAGGAAAAGGGGGTTTCCTACACGGATTGAAAGAGAGGAAAAAAAAAACATTCCTTCACTTCCCGGGACTTCATCGGGCTGGATAAAAATGTCTATTTGCCTTTGTGAACAAACACACTTAGCTGAGGAATTATGCTAAAGTCTGCTGATATCGCAAGCCAAGGCGGGCATCCTTCTCTCATGCATAATTCAGTTAGCATGCTCGTCGTGGCAACTTTATCTCAGTTTTGTAACGAAGTCTTACGCTCGGATTGCGATCAAAAGAAGCTCAGGAAGACGCGTCGTGACTTCCGACACTTCGCTCCGAATGAGATGGAAAACGCGAGGGAACACTTCCGGGAAATTCAGTGGGGAATTTCAAATCAACCGAGAGACAAGAAACGGAACATACATTTATTATAATCCATAATTTGAAAAGTTTGCTTGGTCGATTAGGAAATTGAACTCACCTTATTTATTTGTATTTTTATCAGAAATTTTGAATACTTCAAAGTGTGATACTCTCGGCATTTGAATCAAAGAATTTAACATTTCCGGCAACTATATAAAGATATGATTAATGCAATTTTCGTCGGAAAAAGTTGTAAAATATTTGAAGGAAAGGAAAATTCGGAAAACATGGAGTTGCTGGCGAACCAGGGGGATGAAAAGAAAATATTTGCTTTGGTTTTTTAGAGACTAGGATTCCAGAAAGAAACCAGAAGCATCCACAGGACGATGATAATTGTTATGTAAAATAAAAATCGCTTTAAGAGCATATATTGTGACAAATTGGTAGAATTATTCTTGCATATATTGTCTGTCACATCAGAAGTGACTAAATCACAATGTGCTTTTACCCAATATTTCCAAAAAACATCCCTTTACATTCTCAGGTGCATAACGTCATAAATGGGATTACAGTATATCAATAAAGTTATGTACGGTATTCATTTAAAATATATCCCACCTTCGTTCGACGGAAAATTTATAAGCATTTATTCTTAAATCCCCTGAATAGCAGCTTCCTTTATATACATTTCGTTGCGTGGAAATCACAAGGTACATTCAGGTTCGATGTCTTGAAAACATGTACCAAACGGTGAACATGTATAACAGCAAGAGGGGAAAATTCCTGAACAGCAGACATGCGACGTGCTTTTTTTAAATTTATGTTTTACCATATTCTGCTTGAAGTTTTCCATGACCCAGTGAAGAGAAACCAAAAGCAATAAATATATCAGGCCTGTATGAAGCAACCGTAGCAACATGCAATACAGTAATTCAAAAGTCAAACATCCCCGTTTTTTACAATCTCTTGTGATCTGAAAGGACTAGGTTTGTTCATGTTTCTCAGAATCGAAACAAGCCAGATGTGATGGAGTCTGACAAGCGGAAAAAGGGCAAAATTATGGTAGTATAGGAGGATCACGTCGCTGCACACTCTTGTTGCTTTCCATATGCTTCCAATGGCCAACATTCCATGAAAGCCTTTCCTCTAGATGAAGTCAGTTTGAAAATCGACTGTAAGAAGGATATGTATCTCATGCGAGAGTCTTCAGAAAAAATAAATTAATCTGAATCTTTGATTGATCAGCTTACGCGGGAACACGTGAAATGAATCCCAGGGAAAATTGTGCACAGCATTTCCTCTTGCAGAGACAATTTTCGTCTGATGAAAAAATTTGTGAAATTTAACCATCAGCACAGCGTAGAATGTGAAACCTATAATTTATCTGATTGATTTCCCGTCGCAGGTTTATTTTTCCAACTGTCGTATGCGGCTTATGTAGTCGAATAAATTTTGAAAAGGCGATTAAAACTCGCTTGCGGCCTAGAAAAAAATTCAAGGATATTGAGGGTATAGGCCGCAGTAATAATTATAAGATGCGGCCGATTTTTAAAACCGGGGGGATGGAAAGAGTTTTTTGTGATAAGGAAGATTAATACATGGATTGTGCCATCGGGCAAACGCCAAAGATAGCAGATTTCATCTGTGTTTTGTTGAATAATTTTTTATAATATTTTTCTTCTTCAACGAAATCCTCGTGAATAATGCGATGAATATTCTATGCAATTTCACACATCAGATGAGATGCCTATTCTACATGCGCGTTAGCCAGAATTTTGCCGAGAAAAATGTGCAAATTTTTCTGCGGTTTATGCAATGCCGGTTTATTCCTCTTTCGAACTCCTCTTAAAAACCAGATTACGGCTTATAATTGCGTGAATAATGCACAGTATTTTACTAGAATATATTCGTGTAGAAAATTAAACGTTGCGGTCGATTTTCAACATCTAGTGGATGGAAATATTTTTTTTCGTGATGAGGAAGATACGGATCCTGCCATTGGGAAAGCAGCGCAAAGGAATATTCGCTTGGAGTTTTCGTCTGTGTTTTGTCGAATAATTTGATTTGCTTTGTTAATTTTTCAAAAAAATCCTCTTGAATAATGTGATGAATATTTTTATGAAATTTTGAACAGCAGATGAGATTTCGATTCTATATATACGCCTTGGCAGGAATTTTTGCCCTCAAATTTGCAACTTTTTACTTTGGCTTATGCAGGAACGGTTTTCTTTTCTCTCTCAAACATCCGTTCGAAATCAGATTATGACTGGTAGTTGCGTGAATAATGTGAAGTCTTTTACTGTACTATAATATGCATCGTGTAGAAAGTTTAATTCAGATTGCGTTGTGAATACTGTAGTATTATTGTTCCTTGTAAACGGGGCATCCAGAGAGTCGCGTTTTCATTCCAGCTCGTGATGAGAACAAAGCTCGTCCTCTTTTCCGAGTCACGTTCACGTTCCTCATTGCCCTCATCGGTCACGATCGCATTCCACTTCTCTTTTTTCTACTGGTGTCTTTGTATAATGAATTCGTGGGATGCGTTTACACGGCCACGGTGGTCCTGTTTGGGGCATGGACATGGATTACCCACCAACGTGTTTCCCCCCTCCACAGTCTTTGTTTTCTATCTTCTTTTCATATTTTGAGAGTGAAGTATTAGTATTTTGCTGGAAGATCCGTGAGAGAGGCATGCTTCACTGCTTATATTTCCTGAGAATGCTCTCTCTTGAGCAGTGGGGGAAAAAAGCGTGGATTCCGGACGTAACGTAGCTCACATGAGACTCCTTCACCTATATCAATTTTTTTCTTGTTTTAGGGATGAATTCATCGGTCAATTTCAGGACATTCGGTCCTGAGTTGTTTTGAACACAAAAACGCGTCTCCCGCCATTTTCTTTCGAGTGCATCTCGGACATTTTAAACATGTGGCGTACGTGGAGTTTGGGTAAATATGCCCGCTCAGGCAAACAGAAAATCTGTTCGCTCAAAAAATGGGAACACCTTGTTCTTTAATTTGGGTTCAGTAATTGCGTCATGCTGCAATTATTATTACTGACATTTTGTTTGTGTCATCAGAGAAGGGAAGAAAGTGTATGTATTTACATCAGTTGTGCAATATTGTAAATTTTTGGATGTGCAGTATTTTCTTCTCTTTTAATATCCATAAACAGCTTATTCCTCTGTTTTCCATTCTGATGCAATGGAATGTGTTTGAATGAATGTTGGTGCTAGGGAGAGGAGGGGGATTTGGATGTAGGAACATTGCTTGAACCTTGTGAACACTGAGAAGCGGAAAATAAAGCTTGCTGTTCAATTCCATTCAATTCAAAAAAATGATGTGGTTTGAAAACTTGAGGATAAAACCGATAAAATGGATTGATATGTAAGCTGTATTATATCCTTAGTATATAACACAATAAGAATCTCTCAAGAAGTCTGAAGTATTGCTCTGTAGCCGACTCTAGACGATGTTTTGCTTGGGCAGTTGCTTATATGAGACATTCAAATGTGCAAATTATGTCCCTAATGTCATCTTAAATTCAGTGAACGATTATGTGGCAACATTCTGTCCATTACTGATGCCACAATTGCTATATGCAGTAATTGGACGTTGAAAGAAACTTGTAGTAAGTTCAGTTCAACGTTCTTTTTTTCTCGACCGGTTCCTGGAAGACCCCATCTTAGAATCGGTCAAATGTCGCACAAACTTATGGAATTGTATGGCCTTGTATTTCTCTGCATTCGGAGAAATTCTTGGGAAAATGATATCAGTACTGTACTTATAATTCCCGTTCAACGGCTTCCAAATTATGAGGCTGACGTCAATGTAGGATCCTGGTCTGGCTTCGGGTGCTCCATTTCGAAACCAACACAGTTAAAATTAGCAATCAATCGTTTGAAAATCCCAGCCACGCTGAATTATAAATAAATTTTTAAAATTTCAAAAAGTCGTTTGACATATAGAAACTCATAAGTACAGATAATTTCACACGTCTTCCCAAAAAATGGTACACAACTTTTCTGTATACGCTGCTCTGCAGTAAAAAGATCACGTGGTTTTGAAAATTGAACTCGCTTCAAAATAAAGATAAATTGAGATGAAACGTATTTTATTCACATCAGGAAGAGAAATGTAGTCAGTCTGCTGTATACTTTGAAAAACTTCCGAGAATCGTGAATCTTCCATGAGCAATTTTTCAGCACAACCTGGCTGAAAATTTGTCTCTTTTTCTGCTTGGGTCTTGACGGGGCAAGAAGAATATATCTGCAACCTGGGAGAAGTACTCCTTTAATTTCATACCGTGTAGGAACTACTGTGCAGGAAACAAAATATTTTCCGGAATTCGAAATAAAAACTCCGTCATTCCCACCCTCTTTCCTGCAATGG